TGTACTTTTACTTCAGTACTTTCTTTCATTTTTATCTTCCAAAAACTTTTAAAAGTGAAATGTGTTATGTACAGGTTTATTTGAAACTCTTCCTGGTCGAGTCCAGTGTGAAATGTTACTAAAGGTCACAGAACAATGCTTCAACACATTGGAGCGATCAGAAATGTTGCTTCTACTTTTGAGGCGCTTCCCTGAAACAGTGGTGCAACATGGGGTAAGATTTGATCCTTTTCTTTTCTTTTCTTTAAGAGAAACTAAAATTGATCATCAACAGATTCGTCAGTATGGTTAGCAGCTATAGTATATATACTAAAGTGGAGGTTATGGAACACTGGATAAGATTGAACTTAAATCAAGGAATCTTCGTTAGTAAAACTAAAAGGATATCACTATTATCAAACTTTATAAATTTCCATTAGAAATTGTCTTATCAGTGAGTGGCGTGTGCACAGCTCGGCCAAGGTAAATGATGTCACTGAGAAATATGCAACACAAAGGACATTTCTGGTAAATGCTATGACATATACAACTGTGCAACAACAACTAAAAAGTATGTGTGTGGTTACATGTGTATGTAAGTATGCATACAAGTGTATAAGTATGTTTATGTGTGTATATATGTGGGCATATATAGATACATCTATATGCAAGTGTATATATGTAAGTGTATGCATCCATATATATTCATATATAAAATAAAGCACACAGGGGGCACAAACGTGGATACTTCTTAGACTTAACCAAACACCTCACAGGATTGGTTTACAGGATCTGAAGGCTTAGGACCATAGTCTTGTGGGACAGCTCAGTCAGTTGGCATAATACAGTAAATATAGTTTATGTTCTACATCCTGGCTTGGTGAGTAGGATGTGGGGTCTTAAAAGCTTGCGAGTGGCCAGCTAAAATACAACTCTTGGTCCCTGTGCATCCGGAGTAAAACAGCAATAAGGAAACCAAAGAATCAGAAGAAACTAATCCACAGGACTAGTAGTCTACACAAACCATGACCTCATCTACCCTGAGTCCAGAAGAACTAGATGGTGCCTAGCTACCACTACCAACTGTTCTGATTGGAAACACAATAGATGGATCCTAATAGAATGAGAGCAAAATGTGGAACACAACTCAAATTCTTAAGAAGTCCAGACTTACTGGACCAGTTGAGACTGGAGGACTCGCCAAGACTATCACCCTGAGATACTCTTTAAACCTTGAACCAAAACTATTCCATGAGGCCATCTTTTAGCTAAATAACAGAGTGGCTCACAAAATAAAGAATATCACCTGTGAGCACTGTGCTCCTTTAAAGAATTATTTATATGAGGCCAAACAGTCAACATTTACTCAAAAGCAAAGACAAGAAAG